AGAACCGCTTTCTGGTCCCTCTACTTCAAACAAAGGAGGTACTACAGTGCCAAATCAGAATAATGGTAGTAGTATGCCTAATTTGGGGGTAATCCAAGCGTGAGAGATAATGTCCTAAACAATGGACAGAACATTTCACGTGGTAATGAGGGAACAGATGTCCAGGCTAATGGTAATGGCCCTAATTATGGTAATTTTGTTGCCAATCAAGGACCAAACATCAGGCCTCATGCAAATCAACCGATTAATCAACCTGTAGGAATTTCGTATGATCCCAATGTCATGTTGAGGAATCAGATTATGGAAATCGTGCAGGATCAGATGGCCTTTGGGGTGCTTCCTGTCATTAGGCCGACGTACACAAAACCATATCCTGATTGGGTAGACCAAGCATATCCATGGCCTAGAGGTTACAAAGTGCCAGAATTCTCACTGTTTACTGGTTTGGGAGAGGTGTCTACTCTAGAACACATAGGGCGATTCACGTTGCAAAGTGGTGATGTAACCGATTACCATAAAATGAGACTTTTCCCTAGTTCATTAACAGGAGTAGCTTTCTCCTGGTTCATTAACTTGCCAGCGAACTCTGTTCAAACATGGCAACAATTGGAACAGTTGTTTCACGCTCAGTTTTATAAAACTGAGTCTGAAGTCACTTTGGTCGATTTGGCGAATTTACGTCAAATGCCAAACGAATGGGCAGAAAGTTTTCTCCAAAGGTTCAAGACAGCAAGAAGCAAATGTTTTGTACCTCTGCCCGAAAAAGAATTTGTCAAAATCGCTCAAGGCTGCTTGAGCTTTGATTTAAAAAAGAAGTTCCAGGACAAAGAGTTCCCTGATCTTTTCCAGTTGAGTGCGAACGTGATTAGGTATGAGCGACTGATAAGAAAAGAAGAACAAATGAAAAATTCTAGTAAAGGGACTTATTACAAAGACCCAAATTTTAATGTTCATACCATAGACGACGAGTCATACGATCAGGCCGAAATATGTTTGGCCGAATTGGTCAAAGGAGAGACATATACTTGTCCCATAATGACCAAACCTAGACCGTCGGGCAAAGATGATGAGCCCATAAAAGACGGGAACATAAAGACTAGAATGTTCTCGTTCGATGTGACCAAAGCTGCCCTTATATTCGACAAATTATATAGGGATAAGCAGATAAGATTGAGCGATAAGCACAAATTGCCAAACCCTAAACAAATTAAGGGTAAAAAATATTGTAAATG